CCAGCCTGTCTTATCTGTACTTTCACTCTTCTCTCTAGATATAATGTACCGGGCCACTTTACAGTCCAAACGCTACAGTAATTATATTTATTACAGCTTGCTTTTCTTAAAAAGCCTGATATGTGTTTTTCACCAGGAGAGTTTTTCAGCAAATCCCTTGCAGAAAGTGTACAGTATGCTAAATCTAATGCACTGCAATGCTCATTTATGCAGATAAATTTTTTAATCAAGATTTTCAAATCAATGCATGGATGTTTCTAAGAAAATAAAAAAGATTTTTTTTTTTTTTCCTGAATTTGACACCTACAGTGAGACTAATTACAAGAACAGGAAAATATTGCCTCTGGGCTGGAGATTATACATTACTGTCTCCATTTTTTGAAAGTCTTTGAGAAAACAAAAAATTAGGAATTTGGGGGAAATCGGTGCAATCTATTGAGTCCCAAATAAGAAATATTTGCATTCTAATTATGACAGTATTATGATGCAATCAAGAAAATTTAAAGAAGCTTGCTTTTTTTTTTTTTTCCTGAAACAGTCAGAAAATCCAGTTATCGTTGTTGTCGGGGGGGGTTAAAGGGATGTTTCTAACAACAGAATATAGCCACAGTTTACTTATAGTGAAATTATGAAAGTACAATATAATACACTGGTTTTAGAAGAAAACTTCTGGAACTTTGAAACAATCCTTTTAGCTTCTCCTTTTTGGGTGACATAATGAAACACAAATATTGGGGAGAAAAATTTCTTCTAGCATTTATTTTTCTTAGCAGACAGAGCTATGGTACAGGCCAAATATTTGTTTTATGATAAAGCACAGACAATGTAAACACCTGAAAGCTTATAAAAAACCATCCTACGTTTGCTGTTGCTGAGGTAAAATATCTGTTCCTCAGAGCCCCCATATTTGATGTTTAACGAGATTAAACAGCAATGCAAAGGTGCCTCAATCCTTAGGCAATAAAACCGACCCATACTTAATTTTCGTGGGTTAAGAAACTGAGATAACCCGCATTAAAAAAAAAAAAAAAAAAAAAGTTATGCTCTTCTCCTTCCACCCCGCCTGTTTCAGACATTAATCTCTCTGAGATAGAAAGCTATCACCACCCAAATGATGACATCTTTCACCATTTCACCCCGTTTACTTACCAAAAAAAAAAAAAAAATTTTTTTAAAAAAAAAGAAGTATTAAAAATAGATGTTCTGGCGCATCATTAGTTTTATAGGGGGGCTCTTCTGGCTGTTTTAAAAGAGGATTTCACAGGTCATGAAACTCGGGAAGCCCGAAATTGCCAAGAGGTTGCTAATCCACGGCGCCAACCCCAACCTGAAAGACAGTACCGGCTTCGCTGTAATTCATGATGTAGCCAGAGAGGGTTTTCTGGACACTTTGCAGACTCTGCTGGAGTTCGAAGCTGATGTCAACATCGAGGATGACGAGGGCAACCTGCCCCTGCACCTGGCCGCCCGCGAGGGGCACGTGCGGGTGGTGGAGCTGCTGCTGGAGCGCACGGAGTGCCGGGTGGGCCACCAGAACAAGCGGGGGGCCACCGCCTACGACCTGGCCAAGCTCTACAAGAGAGCCGCCGTGGTGAAGCTCTTGGAGGACAGCAGCTTCCCCCCAGCAGCCACGGATTAAACTCGGCTGGGACGCGCTCTCCCTTGGACATGAAGGCTCTCAGCCGCCTTTTTTCTTCTTCTTCTTCTTTTTTTTAAATAACATTTGTCACAACCTTAGTTCTACTATTTTTTTTTTTTTTTTTTTTTTTTTTTTGGACAGCGGACAGCATAAGTCTCAAGAAATTCTCGAGGTGGGTTTTTAGAGAATGGAAATGTTTTAAATACACCCTCCCGGCAATTCCTTCCACCTGCCATTTTACAATGTAATCACCGACTCAGCCGTCTCTATGTTGGTCGTTCATACCTAGGTTGTCAGTATCATGTTTTACAATTTATTTTAGGTCATTCCTGTTAAGTCATTAATACAGAAGCTACATATGCACATGCTTAATGTTGCTGGACTTTAAGAAAAAAAGAGCTTACTGTGATTTCTCCCACCTCTCAATGCGCTCCCCCCCTCCCTCCTTTCCCCCCCTTCGGTCGGGCTTAAGAGTTTGAAGTCCTGTTTTGGATTAAACCGGCCTTTTAAGGGGCAACCTGCAACTGCCGGCTCAGGCAGAGCTTGAAGGCAAAGGCTCCTTGGCCCGAGGACAAGGGATAGCGTTCGAGGCTTTGGGAAATAGCTGCATTTTGACACTAACAAGAGCTTGTAGAAGTAGGTCACTTACTTTCTAAATGTAGATGAAACTTTCCCCCTTTGTGTATTTAAACTTTCACCAAGCTGGTTTTGAATTTAGATACCAGAAACAGTATAAGTGGTGGGGTGTTTTGATTGCCAGAGGTTTTAACTGGCTCAGTTTAGTAGTTCGTGTTTACTGTGCACCGAACGAGACGTTTTTTCTAGTTTCAAAACAAGCAGCAGAGAACCAATGTCAGAGGCAAGAGAACCTGAAGGCTGCAGTACAACAAGTTTTCTGGGCACTTCATAAGCTGCGTGCAGTTTAGATGCTCTTTAAGAAAGATTTGCTTTCCACCAACCCTTCTGTTTTGCCGGGAAATGAACTATTTTAATGATAGATGCATCTCACGCAACAGGACTCTTTGAATACAGTGACATTTAGGAAGCAGCACATTTGATATTGGGGAAGTTATGCTATTGCTTGCACCTAAAACACAATTTAACCATTGAAAAATTTCCATTGCAATACTGTTGAGGGTATTCATCAGCCTCAACTCCATTTACCCCTCCAGCTACAACAGGAGCTAACGACGCTCAGCACCGGATCGGAAAGGGTTCAGTATGAAACTCGAAACATTTGCCCAGGCTCTAGTTGTTGGGCAGACGGGCCATTTCAAGTGCTTCATTTCAAATAGTCTGAATTCTAATTGCGCAAAAGAGAAGGTTTTAAATCAAAGCAAAATGAATAGTACTGAAAATAGCACTTAAGAGAGGAGAGGGTGTACATTAGTTCAGATTTTAACTCCTCAAAAAAAGAAAGATTTAGCCCCACAAAATCAGTTCCTTCCGTTTTCAAGTAAAATGTAATTTGCTGAAACTATCTGTCACGTTTACTATAGGCTCTGTCACACTGCTGTGTTTTCTGATTAAAAACTTCTGTGAAACATGAAGCTTTGCGTGCTCCTGTCATCATTTTTTGTTCACAAGGGATCTAGAGCTCGTTAATCCGAGCAGCACAGCACACAGAATGCACGACTGGAGAAACAGCCCCCTAGAATGCCCCGTATAAAAAAACACTAAAACCATCTGAAATATTAAAACCGAGCAACGCAACCCGCAGGTCCCCGAGGTGAAGTGACCCCAACCCCCCCTCCGTTGCTATCCGCCTCCCTTTCCTACCTTTTCCTCTCATTTCAAGCATCCTGGAGGATGCTCCGAGCTTTTTTCCTCCTCCCCAACCAGTGCCCCGCACTCCTCTGGTAAGGCAGAAACCCGTGCCGCCCCCGAAAAGTAACGTAAACCCCCTCATCCCAGCCCCGTTTTGAGCTCCATCAGCATTTCATTTGCGCTAAGCCGAAGTGTAAGTAGTGGCTTCATAAAGCAAGTGCTTTTCCGAGAGAAAAAAAAAATAAAAATGCCCCGCCCGGTCAGAAATAGCGGCTTTTATTGATGCCAGAGGTTCACGTTTAAAGCCAGGACGTGTTACACCACAGCCGTGCCTATAGCGTTAGCGGGTGACTCACAGGCGATATTAAGCCTGACTTAAAGGTACGTTTTATTTGCTTTCACTGCCGCGTTTTCTCTGTGAGCCATTCCACGTATCGGAAAGAATATTGGGAATTGAAATTCCTTGTTAGATACTTTAAAGCGAAAATTACTCTCTGTTGCCCCAGGCAGTTAATAGTTTCTGCAAAAAGCCTCTGGGAAACTGAGGAAATAAATCGGCTGCTGGGTTAGGCGCACCTGACAGGGTCTGCAGGTGATAAAACCGCGCCTAGCTGCCGGGGGGGCTGGGAGCTTGCTTGCCTGCAGGAGTTCTCACGCTTCCTGAGCGAGGAGAAAATAATACAAAGCGAGTCTCAAAATAATACAAAGCGAGTCTCAAAATAACGTAAAGCGAGTCTCAGTCCAAAGCAAGTCTCATGAATAGGGAACCTTTATACCGAAAAGGGGGTTCTAATATCGGGGGTGGTTTCAGAAATTACTTTCGTGATTTTTTCCCTGAGTAGCTTGGCAACATCGAGTCCGGTTGACAACAAAAGTCCGGTTTTACAAACAAATTTTGTGAAAACGTCGCCAGTAACGCTGACCCGGAGGCGCCGAGCTGCAGCGTGCGAGGTGGAGCGAAAGGTTTTCGAGAGCTTTTCCCGAGAGGCATCGAGCAAGTGCAAAAGCAAACCCCCAGGCAGGGGCAGAGGTTGTCCTGCAGCAGCCCGGGAACAGGCAGTAAACGATATAGGATCGAGAGGAGACGTATACGTAGGGAAAAAAAAAAAACCCCACAGAAGGCACGGAATAAATGTGAAGCACTAAGTATAAACTGCAGCTGTACCAGGACCCCTACGGACCGGGCAACGTGAGTCTACAGCTGTGGGGAAAGAGCCCGCTCCCCTGTTTCGGTCACAGGGGCGAGCGAAGCCCTTGCACTTGACCTTTGTTCCCGAATCACCCTCGGAACGACGGCCGTGGGATGCCTTTTGGAAAGGGGCAGATCCTGAAGGGAGCCTGCGGGGAGCCTGCAGGGTTTAATCTGCGGCGGCAGCGCCGTGAGAGGCTGCGGGGGTGCAAGAGCCGCCCCGGGGGCGCGGGGGAGCGGGGGGAGAGGCGCGG